AAAGTTGATAGAACGAATCAGACATTAATTTCTATGCTCATATATTAATACATGACCAGTTTAACTCCATGTCATGTACAACCACAAGAATGGGAAGTTATACTCCTTGTATGTATGATACTTAAAATACCTTCTACTGTAATATAYAACTAAAAATAACAAATTTTTAAAACTAAAATAATAATAATTAATAATAATACAGGGATCTTCAATAGAGACTCCAAGAACTACACCTGAAAAGTGGGGCCAAATTGGTCCTAGAAGAAAAGATTCTTTACCTCTATCATAAAGGAGGTTTTTAAAGTCTTGAAAGAACCAATATAATATGCATATAATTTACCTACATAAAAAATATAGCACTCGAGGGTAAAATTCAAAATGTATAATCAGCACCCCAAAATAACTGTGCATATGAAGAAGCAAGAAAAGATGCCCCCATGAGTCAATAGAAACAGACATAGAAATGACACAAGTGGTGAAATTAACAGCCAAAAATGTAAAATTGCTATTATAACTATGATCTTTATGTTCAAGGGGGAAATGGAATTTATAGAGATGAAAAATATATCTGAAATGTAAAACAGTGAAGATAGAATAACCAAATATTGGACACTACAGAAGAATATGAGTATGAAGTCGATAGCAATTGAAACTGTCCAAAATGAAACTGAGTGGGGGAAAACCTGAAATATATGAAGAAAGCCTCAGGGACTTGTGAGACGACATCACACACTCCAACACAAGTATAATTGGAATCCTGAGGAGCAGAAACCAAAAAACTTTTGAGTAATGGTCAGTTTTTTCCCAAATTTGATGAAAACTATAAGCCCACAGATCTTAAAAATTTAACAGTTCCAAGTAGAATGATTATAAAGAAAAGCAAAGCTTACCACAGTCCAGTTGTTGAAAACCACTGGGCTTGGTGGCTCACACTTATAATCCCAGCTGCTTGGGAGACTGAGGCAGGAGGCTAGCAAGTTGGAGGCCAGCCTCAGCAACTTGGTGAGACCCTGTCTCAAAATAAAAAATAAAAAGAGCTGGGAATGTGGCTAAGTTGTAGAAAGCCCCTGGATTCAATCCCTAATTTTGTTGTTGAAAACCAATTATAAAGAGAAAATGTGAAAAGCAGGGAGAGGAAAAAAAAAGATGTATTACATAGAAAAACAAAGATAACAATATACCAAACTTCTTAATGTGTACGTGCAAAAAAAGGCAATGTCATTGAGTTCTTTTAAAAGTGCTGAGGGGGCTGGGGTTGTGGCGCAGTGGTAGAGCATTTGCCTAGCGTGTGTGAGGCCCTGGGTTCGATTCTTAGCACCACATATGAATAAATGACTAAAATAAAGGTTCGTCAACATCTAAAAAAAAAAAATCTTTTTAAAAAAGTGCTTAGGAAAATAAATGTCAGCTAGAATTTTTATGTATAATTAAACTATCTTTCAAAAATAAAGGTGAAATGAAAATTTTCCAGACATACAAAAGCAGAAATAATTCTTGTCAGCACACCTGTGCAACAAGAAATGTTTAAGGAAGTTTTTTAGACAGAAAGAAAATGATACCAGAAGTAAATTTAGATTTATACAGAAGGGTTAGCCAGTATCAAAGAATAAATATAAGATAATTTTTCCTCATTTTAAAATTTCTGAAAAAGATAATCAGTTGTCAAGGTGAAAGTAATGCCTTGACAGTAGCACACAGACTGCAGCAGGGGCAGGGGACACATGTTATAAGACTCTAACTATATCTGAAGTGAGTGGCTAGTATTTGAAGATAGACTATAAGAAGTTAGTTTGTATTGTAAGCCCTAACTAAGCAGGGTTGAGCAAATTATGATCCACAGGCCAAACCCAGCCTGCTGCTTACTTTTTGTAAAGAAAGTTTGTTGGAACACAGCTGTGCTGTGCCTATTTGTTTACATATTGCCCACGGCTGCTTTTGTACAACAGTGGAAGTTTGTAGTTGAACAGATCATAAGACCTATAAAATCTAAAATACTTAATATTTGGCCCTTTACAGAAAGAGTTTGCCAACACCTGCTTGACAGTAACCCTTTAAAAAAAAAGCAACCCAAGAACCCAAGAAGGTATAATTAAAAGCTAACGGTAGAGATTAACATAATTATAAACAATATTCAGTTTATYTTTAAGAAAGGGTGAGAAAGAACAGAGGAAAATAGAAAAACAGTTAAGTCAAATAAGAAGTATGCAGCAAGATGTATACTTAGCCATACTGACAATTATATTGAATGCAAATTTTATATATAATTTTTTAAATTTTTTTTTAGTTATAGTTGAATACAATACTTTTATTTTATTTATTTATTTTTTTGTGGTGCTGAGGATCGAATCCAGCACCTCACACATGTCAGGTGAGCTCTTTACCGCTGAGCCMCAGCCCCAGCCCCATATATATAATTTAATTAAAAGTCAGATTGTCAGTTTGGATAAAATAGCAAAACCCATATGCTTTAGACAAGAAACCCACTTTGAATTTAAAGACATGGATAGGTTAAAAGTAAAAGGATGGTAAAAGTCCTTTCTCTGTCCTGCAGGGGATTTTTTTCAGGAAGACACTGAGATACCAAAATCTACAGATACACAATTCCTTTTTATAGCAAGGTGTGGTACTTGCATGTTACCTACACATCTCCTCTTTTATACTTCAAATCATCTCCAGATTACTCAATGCCTACACAAAGAGAATGCTGTGTAAACAGTTGTTATATACAGTACTGTTTATTAAATAATGTCAAGGAAAAAAGTGGGTACATATTCAGTGAAGGCAGTTTTTTTTTTCAAATATTTTTGATACTCATATGATTCTGCCACAGATACAGAGGGCCAACCATACCAAGAAAATATCCACACAGAGACTTCTAAGCAAACAATCATAAAAGCTTCATTTATAGTAACCAAAGACTAAAACAACCAAATGTCCATCAACATGTGAATGGATAAAGAATTGTGATATCTCTATATAGATATGCTACTCACAAACGAATGAGCTATATTTACATACAACATCAACAAATGGCATAATCATGTTAAGGGAAAGAAACCCAGTACAAAAGGTTACATGCTGTGTGATTCTATTAACATAAAATACTATAAAATCAAACATAAGGGGCTGGGGTTGTGGCTCAGCAGTAGAGCGCTTGCCTCACACGTGTGAGGCACTGGGTTCTACCCTCAGCACCACATAAAAATAAATAAAATAAATAAAGATATTGTGTCCATCTTTTAAAAAAATCAAACATAATCTGTGGTAACAAAAATCAGGTCATTTGCTGGAATTAACTCAGGAAATTTGGGAGATTAATAGAAACATTCTTTATCTTAATTCTTGTTTCAAAACTCATCAAATGTCCACTTAAAATATATTAAGAGTCTAATGTTTTAGGGCTGGAGGTGTAGTTGGGTTGGTAGAGCCCTTGCCTAGCATGTACGAGGCCCTGGGTCCAATCCCCAGTACCACCAAAAAAAGAAGAAGAAGAAGAAAAATGTATTTTGTTATTTGCAAGCTCTAAGAGTTATTTTTTTAATTCAAATCATGAAATGTTCTAATGTGAAGTTTTTGTATTCATTGTAAGTCTTATACGTTATTAGAATGGGCAAGGAAATAAAATGTAAATGACAACTATGGAAAGTTTGATGCTTTTGGAATCTCCAGACCAATTACTCTCACCTTTCTCCAAACTATTTAATTTTGAGGGGTATGTATCCTTGGATGCATGGTGGAATGCAGCTTTTAATTCTTAAAAGGAGAAAATAAAGAAACATTATCACTTATGTATCAGATGGTGTGCTGTTTTACTTATTTCTCACAATGGCTCAGTGACTTAGTGATTAAACCCATTTTATATGTGCAAATGTGAGGCTCAGAGAAGTTACACAAACCCCCAAAGATACAGAGCCAAGATTCAACCCTAAATTTGACTCCAAAGCTTCTCCTCCTCTTCCTCCTTACCCCCTCCCCCTCCCTCCCCCCTCCCTCCCTTC